TAAATTGCTGATTAAAATAAATTAATCAACTTCAAAAATGTGCCTGGAGTAGGTCCACTTCTTTAGGTTTGTCCACCACTGCCACACAGCTCATCAAAGCTCACATTGCTCAAGCTGGGCCTGGTGGTACACACCTGTAATCCTAATATTCGGGAGGCTGAGGCAGAAGGACTGCTGTGAGTTCGAGGCCAGCCTAGGCTACATAGTGAGTTCAAGGCCAGTCTGAACTACACAGCAAGACCCTGTTTCAAAAAAAAAAAAAATTCAAAAGCTCACATAACTCAACTCTTTCAGGTAGACTAATCCAGGTTTCCTAGCCAATCTTCCTGTCTCCTTTCTCCTTTCCAATATACTCTCCACACGTCAGAATGATCACTAAACATGAAGCAGTTTCCTCACTCATCAAAGGGAGCATTTAGCCAGCAAGTCTGATAAGAAAGGAAGAGGAAGAGGGTCAGGGCCTAGCTTTGTAAATGGCCTCTAATCTTTCCTCTCTTTCTACCCTTTCCTAATCTTCCCTAATTCCATTCTACCTTCCCTGACCTTCCTCAAGCCTATCTTTTCAATGGGTATTTCTAGGGGAAAGTTTGCAGGGTTGAGTGGGAGTAAGCAAGCAATATCTGAGACCAAGCTTTTGGCTGGCATGGCCATGAGTTGGGTTACAAACAGGAAGAACTGAGCAACAAAGTATATAAAAGATAATGGGAAACAAGTTTCTCACTGTCAGAGAAAAGAACTGTAAATATGGGAAGGCACAAGACTAGAATAAACTGATTTGGGACTAGGCTGAAAGTATCAATGTGAATTCATCTGTTATTGCAGTGGAGAGAAATAAAAACAGATATAAATATGTATGTAATTCCTAAATGTATATGCAGAGAGAGACTAGAGGTGGTTATACTTCACAGTACCAATAAGCATATCTAGTGCCCAGGTAAATTTTGTCCTGCATTAAAAGGAGCTCTTGTAAATAACCTTACAGAGGGCCAGGGATTTAGCTCAGTGGTTCTGCCTCTGGTCTTGCAAGCGCAAGGACCAGAGTTCAATCCCCGGTACCAAAAAAATAAAAAATAAAAAATAACCTTACAGAAAAGGTTAACTCCATGGCTGAGACTGACAAGATTCAAGACTCAAACCTAAAATATCTTGCTATGCCAAAAACTGATGAAGTCAGGCCAGGATTACACCTGTAATCCTAGCATTCAGAAGGCTGAGACAGAAAGAACACCATGAATTGAAGGCCAGCCTGGGCTACATAGCAAGATCAAGGCCATCTTGAATTACATAGCAGGACCTTGTCTCAAAAAAAAAAAAAGTGAAGTAGTCAAAAAAACAGATAAGGACACGTTTTTTAAAAAAACCTAAAACTAGCTTTATGAACCTCATAATAGAATAAATAAAATAAGTAACATTAACAAATTTAATTTGTTGAAAAAAATACAAACACTACACTGAAGTAAACAGAAATAAACAGAGGAAGTGCTATACCATTGTACAAGACCAGGCCAACGAATAAACCTGGAAGAAATGATCGGTAGAAAAATCATTATTTGGCACCATTTAAAGTAGTGTAATATCTGATTCTTATAAGATTCATCAATGGATACTAAAAATAATGAAAGTTTGATGAGAAATAAGATGTCACACAGACTCATCAACTAGGTACAAAATAATAAATAAACCATACTCATCAACTATAAAGTCAAGAAACCTGGTGAACACACTATCTTAACCAAATGACAAAAATTAATATGACCACTAATAGGACACATCAACATCATGTTTTTCCTAGTATGCACTAAAAAGAATTCAGCAACAATTCACTAGTACACCAATGCAAATAATGCATAAATCAAAAGGAAATATGAAACAAAACCTTACTGAGGAACATTTTACAAAGTAGCTTATGCTCTTCAAAAATGTCAAGGGTTAGGAAAGAAAACTAAGAACTATTCCAGATTGAAAGAGACTAAAGAGACAAATATTAAATGCAATGCAAGATCCCTTGGACCTATAAACATTATTCAGAATATCAATAAAATTTGAATGAATTTATGGATTAAACTGTAATACAGAATCAATGCCAATTCCCTTATTATAAAAGTTATAGGAGGATTATGTTATAGCTGGGTACACACCTATAATCCCAGCACAGAGGCAGGATGATCCCAAGTTCAGGCCCAGCCTAGGCAATTTAGCAACTTAATGAGAACCTGCCTCAAAA